GTTGGAGCAGTGCGATGTGCCATGTGGACCACCGGACCGCAGGCATGTATAGATCGTGGCATGGGGTCTCCGGTCGCATGTTTGCATGCATGCACGCGAGCAGGCAGATTGTAGACACTACATCTCCTCGCATCCTAGCAAACTCCAGGTGCTCCTATATTAGATAGCTCTAGATATCTTGCCATGGATACTTCACCTGAGAGTCGTTCGCAAAAGATTGTGGAGCTGACCGATCTGGTGTATGATTCCCTGGACTTAGAGTATATCAAAACTACAGGCTCACTTTTTGCATCGAAGTCTTTGAGACACTCGACCACACGAAAGCAACTGGGCTTTATGAAGCAGTTTCAGTACGAAGGCCGGCTCCTCACTGAGAAAGTCACGACTTGTGTGGTCAAGCGACTCATCGACCAGAAATCCCTGGAGCTTCCCGCCTATCCAGGCTTCTCCAAACGTGCATGGGTTAAGGAAAGTGCTCAGCTGCTACTGACTTTACTGCAGAAGGCTAGAAGGTCGTACAGCAGCATGGCCGAATCCATGGATGGCATGGATACACAGCCATGGCAGCTGGACCCAGAGGAGGACAGTATACATCGATGCCATATATTGCACATATAAACCCAGAAGTTAACATCCCATGTGTATCCAGGACTCCCAGGTCATCAAGCGGGGGGCATCGAGTACCTCGACTGTGGCTTGCATGCATGGGTATATATAGGTTGAATGTTGCTGTGTTTGTCTGTGAGTTTTGCCCATGCATGNNATTCCGATCCAAGACTCCCGATCCGAGAGCAACTTTGGCTTGGGATCTTAGCTTCCTGAGTGCAGAATATATAAGATTTTTTAGAATTAATGCATGCATCGACCCGAGGATCGTGACGGTCCCAAGGACCAGGACTGGGCAAATGATGATGATGGCTCGAAGGAGCCGCAGAGCGAGGCTCCCTGATCAGGGGGGGGGATCGATGGCCTGATCTGAAAGGGTTTTGGGTTTCGAGTTCAGGGTATAGATTAGGGTTTTGAGTTTAGGGTTTGGAGGGTCTTGGGGCTTTAGGGGTTTCAGATGAGCGGTTTGGGGTATAGGGGGGTTATATATATACATATATATATATATATTCATTCTAGAGTACCATGAGAACTATTGCCTTTGTTTATATTTCAAACTTTCTGTACCCTAGATT